AAGGGACCGTAGAAAGTGGACGGAATGAGGTGTAAAAATGACAAATAGGACATGTGACTAAAAGGCACATTTTTTAAACTAGATTTTCTTTGTTTAAGAAATAAAAACAGACTCTCCTGTCCTGTTTTTTAGACTTGATCGATTGGGGAATTCTGATTTATGCTTAGACTTTGCTTATGATAAGAAGTTTAAGGTCAAGTTTTTATAGCTCTCCTGGGGGCTAACATTTAGCAATCTGTTTTTTTTTTAAATTAGCCAAACATAATTAGTTAGTTCTGGGTAGGCATTATCGAGGATGTTTTTGTGCCGTATACGTTTTTGTAATTTGTTAAATTCACATAGGACTTAAGAGAGCGTCGAAATTCAGAAATAGTGATTCCTGGGGTCAAGACATAAGTGGCTCGGAAGGGGCCATTCAGACGTTACCTGTAACTGAGGGTAACAGGTGACAAAGTGTACTTTTCTAACACTTCTGCCTTCTCACCATTAGATGTCACCAATATTTAACAATCATAACTTTTAGTTAGTTTGTTTTAAGTCTGACTTTAAAATGAACACAAATTATTGTTTATCGTTGATATTTTGTCACATTTTGCGATTCCATGGCTCACCGTTGTGGGACATGCCCACAGACAGGCACTTGTGGAATCGGCAGTACTGGCACTTGTTGCGGTTTTTCTTTTGGATCTTGCACTTGAGGTCACACTTGTCGTACTTCAGCTTCAGCCTGATGGTCCTCCTGAAGAAACCCTGGGGGGGGGGGGACACAGTGCCAATGTAACATCAAAAACTTGAAGGAATTTGTAAAAAAAAAAAGTCAATCGTTTTAACTGATTTGTAAATCTTTAAACCATATCAATTATCCATGGGAAATGTCTGCACCAGAAAGATGTAAATTAATGTAAAAATGATTTCGTTGATGATGACGTTCATGGGTCTGTTGCTTGAAAATCACTAAAAATGTGTGACTTCCGTCCAGGCCGTTGTTAGTAGATCATCATTACCACAAACTACACCAATATTACACACGACAGAAGAACTGATCAGTATGATGGGGTTTTTTTCTCGTCAAACAACTTGCATCTACAAAGCAGAATGTGGAAGTTGCGCGTGCCACAGATGCCGAGCTCGGCAATTTTTTTCAGATATATTGCAACATTACTTTATAAAGATTTGAAAAGCTCCCATCAGGCACATTTAAAAGGAACGTGTGCACTGGGTGAAACAGGAATTTCTGTATCGATTTACGTCAATTTTGTTCCTGACCAAAAGTCGTCGGCAGTCGAATGCGGCCGAGGTCGAAAGTCCAGCAAAAGCGATCAATGGCGTGTGAGGAAAAAGCATTAGCGCAGTGAGAAAACAACAGACGGGTGTGTTTACAGAACGCGTGTCTCCACATGTCTGTGAGAAGGTGTACAGACACAACCACAGGCCTCTGAGAGCTGACTGGACAGTTTAGGTTGACGGATGTGTTGTGCAACACTTCTGTTGCAAAGCTATGATGAATATCTCTTTGTACTATCAAAAAAACCCTCTGTGGTACTCATTAGGTACATACATGTGTACTTTATCTTAGTAAAGTCTACGGGGGAGGAAGGTCAAAAACATCAAGCTGTGCTTAGTGAATTCATTCATTTAGCTTATAGCTAGCTAAATAGCTAACAAAGAGAGAAAAGAGATGATTAGATATTCAGTTTAAAGTCTTTTTAAAAGTCTTAAAAGATGTTTAAGATTTAGCTCAAACGAACATAAAAGAAGAGAAATTTTACAAAAGTAGTGCTAAAAAGTAGCCCCAAAGAACACTAAAACTTTTTGAAACTTGGCTAAAAAGTCAGTAAGTAAATCCTTAAATTACTATAATAAAGTTTTATGAAACATATCTACAAAGAAATTCATTAAAGTCAGCCAAAACAATGACAATTTGGCTTAAACTTGGTTTAAGCTTATAAAAAGCAACTAATTAAGAAAACTGGGTAAAATTGGTGAAAATAAAAATAAAAAAAGAAAGCTAACACAGCTATTAGCATAGCAAAACAGGCAAAAGTTTGACCTGTAATGGCTGAAGTTTGGCAAAGGATGCTAACAAATTTTAATTTTAATTTTCACCTCCAGCACTGCTACAGAACATTCCAGAACACTTCAGTTCTAAAGTTAAAGTGTTGTCAGAGCCTGTCCAGTAGGGGAACTGTCACGTGATAGATTCTTCCATGATGGAGCTGCACAGTAGCTGGGTGTAATCTGTTGTCCTGACTTTTAGCTTTAGCAATAGCATTAGGTTGACAGGTTTTGACCAAAGCTAAAAAAAATTTAGCGTCACCTAAAAACTGACAACAGTTATTAGATATTATGGAATTTTCATTTGAACATATTCAAGATTTATTTATGTATTTATGGCTAACTTACAAGTAGCTTTGATTGGCTAGCCGCCAGCACCTGTATTCCTTTTTAGTGCTCGTACATTGGTATCTTTGGGTAAATATTAGCATTTTGCCTTCATCTAGCGCGCATTCCTTATCTCAACCTTTAACCGTTTATCAGCTTTATCAACTCTTTTTGGCTAACTTTTTGCTAGCTTTTGTCTAACATAATGCTAAAAATGACCAGGTTCTGGTGCCAAGTTATATAAGACTGTAAAACCTGGAATTTTTTAATTTTCTATGTAATGTTTACAAACACTAAATTAGAAAAAATAGCCAAACAGACGATTTGAATGACAGCTAGCTGTAATTGTTATAAAGTGGCAAAATAATCCAATAAATTGTACAAAATGGTCTCAAAGCTTATTGAGGAATACAAATGGGGTTTTTTTCAGGACAAAAGTATCGGACCACATGGACCTCCTCCAAGTGCCACAACGGAAACTCAAGCCTTACTTTGGTCATGTGAGATCACCTCTAACTGGTCATACGTAAATGTTACGGAAACTTGTGTTTTCTGTCATCTCTTTCCAACCGCAGAGACACGGAGGACAGTGAGGGTTAGCGTGCGACGGTGGAGAAACTCTGAAGCGTGCGAGGTCACCAGGTAGAGGGTCATAAATATAGCAAACACAGAGTTAGCAGTCAGCAGTCAGCTGGCGAGGTTGTGACACAATCACATGGCAAAACACACACACACACACACACACATGCGCACACGCACACAGATCCACAACGATTCTGTAAGGAAGGAAATCCAGAACAGACGTCTCTGCTGCTCCGAGCGTGTGTATGTGTGTGAACTCACGTCACTCCAGCTGGGCTCTGTGCCAACTGGGTGAGAGGTAACAAGTCAATCAAGGCCCCCGTGACCCCCTCCTCACATGACCTGTCTGCACGTCCCACCGACTTTTCCACGTGGACTGTCACTGCCCGTTCTGACCTCACTTTGCTGTGTGTGTGCGTGTGTGTGTGTGTGTGTGCGTGTGAACACTGGCACAACATGTGTGGAGCATCAACACCTTCATTCATCTGCGTCCCACAGGTGATCATTAAGTGGGAGTCAAACTGTCTGGTTTTCTGCTTCTATTTTTACATTGTTGGCATTTTACCCACTTTGTCTCATGTTGATCTTTGTCCCTGCACGTCCCCCCCCCCCCCCCCCCCCCCCCCCC